GATCGCACTTATACGGTTTCTCTCCCGTGTGTGTTCTCATGTGTCTCTTTACACTACAAGATTGTGAGAATGCAGCATCACACAGATCGCACTTATACGGTTTCTCTCCCGTATGCATTCTCATGTGTGTCTTCACATGACTCAGACGGGAGAAGGCAGCTTCGCACAGATCGCACTTATACGGTTTCTCTCCAGTGTGTGTTCTCATGTGTCTCTTTACACTACCTGATTGTGAGAAGGTAGCTTCACACAGATCGCACTTATACGGTTTCTCTCCAGTGTGTGTTCTCATGTGTCTCTTTACACTACCTGATTGTGAGAAGGTAGCTTCACACAGATCGCACTTATACGGTTTCTCTCCAGTGTGTGTTCTCATGTGTCTCTTTACACTACCTGATTGTGAGAAGGTAGCTTCACACAGATCGCACTTATACGGTTTCTCTCCAGTGTGTGTTCTCATGTGTCTCTTTACACTACCTGATTGGGAGAAGGCAGCTTCACACACATCGCACTTATACGGTTTCTCTTCCGTGTGTGTTCTCATGTGTCTCTTTACACTACATGATTGTGAGAATGCAGCATCACACAGCTCGCACTTATACGGTTTCTCTCCAGTGTGTGTTCTCATGTGTGTCTTCACACTACTCAGATTGGAGAAGACAGTATCACACAGTTCGCACTCATATGGTTTTCCCCCGGAATTAATTCTCACGTATTCCATCGTGCTTCAGGGAAAGCTGCCACGTTCTGGTCACAGACGTCAAGTATCTACCCTGTCCGGCGCTCAAGTTACGTCCTCGTATTTTGCTTCGGAGACGGCCTCGTCACACTAACACTCGTAGAATTAACGTCCTATCTAGGTTCTCCTCAAAATTGCTAAAGAAAATACAAATAACTCTGTATTGAAAGCCGCGTTACATTGGTAGAAATTAAGTTTTGAACGCGGGAGTCCCTACCCTCAAAAGAGGGATTCTGCAGTTTGGGGTTCAACATTGGGCATGTGCTTATTTTTAAGATTCATGTGGTTGCACGTTTGCCAAATTTGGACATTTGCTGAAAAAATACGGTAATTCCGCGAGGCCGTGCTCTGGAACGAACTAGTTAGTATGGCAGAATTTTCAGGGAGTCACACGGACTCCTGCATATGTCAAATCAGGGAGTCTGACAGTAAATCAGGGAGTATTTGACTCCAGACTCCCGTTAATTTCGCACCCTGAAGTTAACATGTGTTTGTAAAGTGTTATATAATATATAATTTAGAATTTAAATATAAAGTAAAGATATAGAAGTACACAACGAAATGTGTTCAACAAACATATCATATATTCGCCAAAGTCTATAACCAAAACACCACAGAGCCACGTACGTACACACGTAATAGTTCCACCCTTGTAATAAATTATTCATCTTTGTAATAAAATATCCAGTCGCAAACACTTGACATGCCACCCTTTTATTGGAATTGTCTGAAGTTTGATACTATGGAATTATATAGTTTTAGAGCAAGACAATCTGTATACATACACAAGTACCTATAAAAATAATACCTGTGGTACATATAAACAATACCTTTTTAAGTCTGTTTCCCCATTCAGGATCTTTTTACGTGAGTTCCCTGGAGTCAGTGTGTCCGCAAGCAGCAATGTAGGAGCCCAGTCAGTATGTGAGCGGTCATACAGGTCAGCTGGTTTACCTACAAGAAAAAACATAAATCTTTGTTTATTATTACTACAGTGACTCCACGACTTACGAACAGGTTTGGTTCCGATCGAGCAGTCGTTCGTAAGTCGAACATAATTATGTGCGTACGTACCCAGCTAACACATAATGTTTTCACAATGTTGCTGGAAGGTGGTAGTTTGGTTAGGTCAGGAATAACGTTGCTGCAACGTTCTAGAAACGTGCCATGCAAACGTTACACTCGCACCTTTCCACACCGTTATGTAGTAACGTTTTAAAAACGTTATTAGGACGTTGGATACGTATATACTATTATACATATTTTTTTATAGTAAAAATTGACATCTGTATTTATGAAATGTACTATATCATATGTTAACGTATAACCCTAATTAATTACGTCATGTTATTTAAATGTTATTATTGTTATTTCTGTCAGATATTGTGCAACGTTCCCACAACGTTGTAGGAACGTCCGTAAAATACATTCGTGTAGAGGCAGAGACCATAACGATCGTGTCCTATCAACATTGATAGTAAAACTGATTGAAATACTGGGATATTAATCACAAATGTCTTCTACCGTCGAGCTTTCTTTAATACTACAC